GGGGAAGGGGTCGGGGGCACAATAGGTGACTGAGAAGCGTTACGAGTACAAGGCATGCGGACACAGTTCCGTCCTCGATCTCACACTCGCGCGGCCATGCGCGGGGCTGGGCGGGCGCGGCCTACAGCGGGACCGTCCCCGCCTGCGCACGCCACAAATGCAGGTCAGGACCGTTTCGGTCCTTCTTCTTGCAGACGGCTCCAGGAAGCCCCGCCGGGAGCTCCTCATTTATCGGGATGGACACCGGGGAGTCACTGCGTTGCGCAGCGCCAGGTCGTTAGGGATTGATGGCGGAATGCTCCCCTTTTGCTGCATATGCGGGGGAAAACTGCGCCCGTCATGATTACGTCTCTCTGAACGAAACAATGTGAAACGGCTTCCCCGCTATGTTCGGTGCGGCGGTTAAGTAATAGGAACAGATGGAACGGTAATTCGATGGCACGCTTTTGTTGTGAATATCACAAAAGGAGAACAGAAACAAGCTCTCAGCATGCACAGCGTGGACCTCGCTATGCAGTACGCGAGTCTGTTCACAGGCAATACTGCTGTCTTTACCTCAACTTGTAGGCTAGTTTGCTTGCCTTGTCTGCACTAGTCTGACGGAAGACATCGGTGTGTCGCGTCATACAACCACGCGGTAGAAAGGAGTATTTTGGTGGTCTGTTTGCCTTCTTCTCCATCTCTACCAATATGCCTCGTTACATCCACCCTTTCCATCTTGCATCCCACCCTTTGCGCCCCCCCTCCTCTGACTGTCTGTCTGTCTGTCTGTCTGTCTGTCTCTCTCTCTCTCTCTCTCTTTCCAGCGCTCTCTGTCTTTCCCTCTGTCTTTCTGTGTATGTCTGTCTGTCCGTGCCTCGCCCGGGGCAGCCCCTTTGCCCCGGTGTCAGTTATGCACATTGTAGTGAACTCCCCCTCGATCACTCTAACGTTTCTTTCTCTCTCGCACTCCCGTCCTGACCCACACGTCCTACTCTTGTCGCACTCTATCGGGCTGGGCGGGGCGTGGCTGGGCGGGGCGGTGCTGGGTGGTGCTGGGCCTCGCGGCGAGTGCATCGCGATGCACTTGCACCCCGCCGAAGCGCTGCCCCACACTGCATAGCAAACCTGATTAGGTTGAAGCGAAATCTGTCATGGGTTCAGAAGGCGTCTTTGTGCTCTGCATGGGTTAGCGAGGGCAGACGGCCCCAGAAGGTACTATGAACTCATTTTGGCGCTGCCAGCACCTTTTTGGATTTCAGTTTCACTGTAACTGTTCACTGGTTATTCAGTTTGATTTTAAGAGTATAAGCTGAGAACTACACGGTAAAAAGAATGTCTTGAAATCCGAGGAAATGTCTTGGATTTCAAGGTCGGGTGGATAATTTCAAGATTGGCCCTTGAAATCCCCGACTCTGTCTTGAAACCCGTAGCTTCCAAGGGAAATCCTTGGAATTTTTGTCTGGTATTCAAGGGTTTTCCTTGAGGCACGATCTGGGTACTTCAAGGAAAATCCTTGAATCCCAGACGAAAATTTCAAGGATTTCCCTTGGAGACTACGGGTTTCAAGACGGAGTCTGGGATTTCAAGGGCCAATCTTGAAATTATCCACCTAACCTTGAAATCCCAGAAATTTCCTGGGATTTCAAGACATTCTTTTTACCGTGTAGGGAATACGACAGAGGGATTCTAGCGAAAGTCGGTTTTACCTGAATTCCCTGCCAGCAAAACAAAGAACATTTTTGTCCGTAGTACAACTACAAATAGTCTCTGATCATTGCACATGGATTAAGTCTTTCTTACATCATGCTAATAGAGCCAATCTGTGTTTCGCGAGATGGTTCATAGGCGCCTTCCTCCTTCCCGCTGCCGCGGCCCCTGCCTCTCATAGGGAGGTACCGACTGGGAAAAGGCACCGACTAGGCAGCGTGGTGGAGGTCCGGGGCGAGGCTAGTGCGTGGCAGGGCAGGGCGGGGCGGGGCCAGGCG